AAACCCTTTTCCGCTAGACACCCTGACTAGCTCACCGAGGCCCGTCCCCTACGTTGTTCCGTTGCGTCCAAAGCAAGCTCGAGGCCCTCTCCGCAGCCTCACCCAGTCGTTTGAGTGTTCGTTTCCGTTCATTACCGCGCAATCCTAGTTCTTTAATCACATTGTAGAGTGAAGTGGAGACGAGACCTCTTGCTCCCACTTCGACGGCAAAGACACGTACTGTATACGCCTCGTCTCTCCTCAGACCGGCTGCTAAATCACTGTATTTCTCGAGCTTATACATGTGATTTTCATCCATACGCAACTCATACGGGACGGTCAGCTCAATCAGGATGTGCTGCCGTTTATCCGCCGAGTGGAGAACTATGTCAGGTCGCAGAGGTTAGATTCATGGTGGCAAGCAAAACGATCCCACGGTTCTAGAGGAATCAGCTAAGAGTCTCAGCAGCGTTTACGATTCGTTTACGAATGTGTGCTATGGTGAAACTGTCTCACAGACAGAATTCAGAACGAGGCTATACGCATTTTATTTGGGTGTTCAAGAGATCATCATCAGGTGCTTTGCTGACTGAAGTGGGCGATCATGTCTCTCAACAGTCTCCTGCAGCATGTATCAGTTCGTGTGCCGACACACCTCAATGCCATGCAACAAGACTGTCAAGAATCTTCTCTCGTTGTCTTCCTCTACCCCCCCCCCTTTTCCACAGAGTTTTCCAGTGGTCACAACATGTTCTTCCTCTTCTTCTTTCGTTCGCATGAAAAAAATTTTCCTTATCTGCAATGCTGTCTCTAGTATGAATTTCACTGTCTTTTGTAATTCACTAAGCTAGTAAAGTCTGACTTCCACAAGTGTCTCTTTTGGCCAGAAGTTTTGCCTGAAAGCGTTGAGTCTGGGACAGTCTTGGAGGATGTGATCTGTTGTCTCAGGTGCCAGTCCACGGGTACAAATGGCTGATTCGCTAATCCTAAATTTGTTGTACATGTGGCAGCGAAGTCAATTGTGCCCTGTTCTAATGCGAAGGATAATGACTTGCTCTGGTCTGTCCAAAATATGGCAATCGTCTTGTGCCAGTTTCGGTGGCATTCTGATTGATTTGATCATTCTCTTCTTCTGTTGATAAGACACTGGTATGTCGGGTTGTTCTTCAGTTGCACCTTCTTTAGCTAGTTTATCAGCCCTTTCGTTTACGGGAACTCCACAGTGGGGATGTATTCACTGCATTACTAAATTACAACGGTTGCCTAGTTTGGATAATAGTGTCCGTATGCTTGGTACTTTTCCAGACTGGAGTGCCTGAAGCACCGCTTTAGCATTTGTCAGGAATACCACTGGTTGTGAAAAATACCATGTATTTAGTAGTTTCTCTACCGATATCTTGATGGCTTAAACTTCTGCATCATAGTTATTACAGTGTTTTCCTGTTTATATTTTGGCTGTATCCCTGCTATGATTAGGATACTCGATGTACACTCCTGCACCTCCGTTTCTGACTGCACTTTCTGCTGACCCATCTGTGTAAACACGGACCTTAAGATTCTGCGGGTATTCATCAACAAGTAGACTGAGGATGGCTATTTTGGCTGCACACTTTTTTGTTCTTTCTTGTCAAATACTCCTTTCACTTCTGTCTTGATGTGTATTGGAAACTTATACTCCACTCTCCAGGGGGTCTTTTCTGGGACAGCATTTAAGGATCTATCAGTTGCAGGCAAATCAGTGGTTTGTCTGCCGAGCCGTTTGGCCTGGTGGATGAAACTACTTCTCTTTAGTCGTCTCAAAGCTAGATTTTGGAATCTTTCATTCATAAGGTGACTGGGCATACTAAGAAACTTTTCTGCTTGTAAAAGCATCTTAGTGTCTGCGTTCACTCAGTGCTTGGGTCATTCCCATTTTCTCCATCACAGCTATAGGTGTTGATTTCATATTGCCTGTGGTAACTTTGAGTGCTTGATTTTGCACTTTGTCAAATTCTTGCAATGTGGTTTTTGATGTCGAACTCCATGCTGGTGATCCGTATTCAAGATGTGGTCGAAAACGTTTTTGGTAAACTTTACTAAGTATTTTCCCGCTAGCACCCCAGGTGGTTTCACTTAGTTTTCTCAGAATGGCTATCTTCCTTCTGGCTTTGGTTACTGCATTGTTGATGTGTTTTATCCTTGTTAACCTATCATCAAACGTTACTCCGAGTTATGTGGGCACCTTATCCACTCTCAGGGGTACTCCATTTATCTGAATGACAACTGATTTTTTTTTTTTTTTGGAGAGAGGGTAAAAAGGGTGGTACTGCATTTGTCTATGTTGATGCTGACACATCATTTGTCGGCCCATTCAGCCAGTGCATCTATGGCTTTTTGTAGCAGTCTGGTGGCCATTGTTGCATGTTCATTTGTACACCAGAGTACCAAGTCATCAGCATACATTTCAGCTTTAATTCCATGGGGTAGTTTAGAAACCAGGTCATTGATATAGACACAACATGCTCTATTTCCCCCTCCAACAACATCTCTAAGGTCTCAAGAAATACAAGAGATACAGTTTGCTAAGCGATGCGCTACCTGCTTGTTTTTCCAACCATAGAACACACATTTTCCAAACACGTGCCTACATCGAAGCATCGCAGACAAACTACACCCGCTGAATAGTAAAATGGGGAAGCAAAAATAGCAATAGGTTAAAATCGTTGAAGGGTCAGGACGAAGACCTTATTCGCTTGAGGAAATAGGACCTGGCGAGGAATGGTACAAGCAGGGCGGTATTAACAACATTATTACAAACCTGTCATCCCATTGCGGAATGCAATTTTTCGTTATTTTAATGCCCCACTCTGGCTCTGCAAGGGCCACAATATAGCCCGGCCATAAATATGGTATAATGGCTAAATGCGGTTTCCGGGACCTCTCCACGGGTGATCCTCATCCACATGGTGGCACTTTGTGTCATCGGGTGTTTATCGCCTGTGCGACGATTTGGTGGAGTAAAATGTCCTACTACTACCACTACTACAACATTATGAAACGCTGAGCAAACCAGTGAGCTATGGTTCCGACGACAACCGCTCATATGAATTAAATGTAAATGGTCGATAATATTCAGCATACTTACTGGCACTCAATCTGAACATAATCATCGAAAAAAAAAGGCTATCACCATTGATAGAGTATCAACTTTCAGAAGCACAGATGGGCTTTCGACGAAACATAAGTTGCTTAGATGCCATTTATACATTGAGACAACTATCAGGGAGAGCAATAGAACCCGATAAGACATGTTTGTTGACATTCCTAGACCAAGAAAAAGCCGTTGATAGAGTCGACATAAATATTTGGTGGGAATGTATGGGAAAAGAGCGAATCAGCAATCATCTCACTAATATTTGCAAAAGCCTGTTTACACCTAGTAAATGCTGCATAAAATCGAAGACAGGATTGTCAAAAACTTTAATCAGCGTCAGGGCTGTGTACTATCGCCATTTCTTCTTATAACATTCATGGATACCATATGTAAGGAAACTAGCTTTAATCAAGAAGAAGATATTACAGAACAACTATTCGCCGATGACCAGGTAATAATAGTAAAAAGTACGGAATGCCTTTAGAAAAACCTATATCAAATTAGCAGCAAAGTGAAAGAATATATTATGAAAAAAAAAAAAAAAACTACGAAGACTGAGACAATGGTGATAGGAAGACAGAAAGACAATTTAGAAATAAAATTAAAAAACAACAGTTTAAGACAAACAGGGAAATTTAAGTATTTGGGAGCAATTTTAACATCCAACGGAAAACTGGACAGAGAAATTAGCTCGAAATGTGCCAAAGCTAATCAAGTAATGGGGCAACTATTTCTCCTGTTGACACACAAGCAGATACCACTGAGTACTAAACTGAATCTTATCAGGACTATTTTTTTGCCAACACTATGCTATCAGTGCCAAACGTGGACACTCACATCCTCCAATGAACGTAAAATTGAGTTTCAAGGAAAGACAGATTACGAAATCACGAAAAAAGACGAATGCTAGGAATAAAGCCAGTCTTGCAGTCTTGCATCCGTGGTTCATGTGTCTGTATAATCGGCACATTTTCGCTCAAAATATGTTTGAGAATGCTACAAAAACCCCATTTGCATGCAATCATGACATCTAATTGCTTGAAACAATATTTCACCGCATGTCTAACGGAATAACGATTACAAGATAGTAAAAACGTCACTAGTTCACATGCAAAATTAGAATAAAAAATCCAAATAGTAAGAGCTGGGAAAAAACACGTCCTCTCAGTAGGGAGTCGACTGAATAGATCTGAAGGAAGGAAAGGGGGCAGGTCCAGATGGTATCCCAATAGAAGTTATTAAGGCCAGTTTAAACATATCATCAAAATTGATACATAGATATTTAGTACAGTCTGTGAGACCGAAAAATATAAGCAGACTGGAGAGAAGGATATCTTGTGAAACTGCCCAGAAAAGGTGATCTACAGGAATGTGAAAACTTTAGAGAAATTGTGTTTTTCAATTCCTGGAAAATATTAAGTAGAATTATTTTAGAGAGACTGGAAGATGCAATTATAAATGGCTAAGCGATGAGCAAGCACGTTTCGGCCAAACATCTTGTACTGACCAGAGTAAAGCATTAAATTGGATTCATAGGCTTAAAACGATTTTGACAGAGTTAATAAGGAATCTCTCAGGAAATTTATGGTGCACGGATAACAGATACATTTGAAATAAAAACAGGTGAGCGAGGGGGATTTTTTTGGGGTCGCCTGCCCTATTTTTTTTGGCAATAGACTGGATTATGAAGGCGGCAACCGCTAATACTAACAATGTAATTTAGTGGACCCATACAAAACAGCTTGATGATCTGGTCTTTGCCTAATGCTTTTTCTTTAGTGTCCCGCTCGGAAAATGAGTTGAAAAAAAAATTAAATATACTTGATGCCTATACTGGGTCTGAAAACCCGTAAAGTGTGTGTACATATATACATACTGCTTTTCTTACGTTGTGAACAAACAACCCCAGCAACTGCTGTATTCTTCGAACAACTGTGATCCTTGTCAGACCAGGTTACATTGCAGGAATCAAAAGTTAATTCTCGACCAACACACTGAATTTTGTAGACATTCTTGGGGACGTCTATTCCACCAAAATAACTAGTCTGTGGGGAAAAAAATAATGATTACTGTTAGACAATTGAAACAGCTACACAATGTTGGATATAATTATTAAACAAGTCTAAATGCTCAAGCATATGAAAACATTGATAACAGCGTATTAAATAACGTATATTTCACAACTGGAAGAATATTCTAAACAATACTAAACAATGTATGTTTGCCAATCCACAAAGAAAGGGAGTTCTTAAGAGCTATATAGAGCTAATCAGTTGGTACAGAGTAAATCATGGATGGTCATTATATAAATGGAAAAAAAATATATGGAAGATGCTGACATGTGGTTTTGAAGAATAGTGAGGAGAACGCAATTTTACTTCCTAAAAGAAATTATCTCAAAAGTTCATTAACTTCCTGCACCAGAATGAGATTATATATATATATATATATATATATATATATATATATATATATATATATATATATATATATATATATATACACACACACACACACACACACACACACCATTTTTATTTTAAACGACACTTTTTAAATCAAACTGGACAATATGCAAATCATCCAGGACGTTTTTCAAATCAAACTAGACATTTTGCAAATCAAATAGGATAATTTTTTAAGCAAATTGGACAGTTTGATTTCAACATTTAATAATTCCTAACAAAGAAAGCAATGACAAAGAAAATTACATCTCACAAGATGTAATGCTGTCCTGATGCTTCTGTAGTCAAGTTCATCATCATATGGAGGACGTAATTTGAGCTGTGTTACTGTTCCAATGCTTTCTTTAATGGCCTTGCTTAGTGTCTGGTCTGGCGTCGGATTGCACAGCAGGCGACTCGCTGATGCCTTTACCTTGGAGAAGAGTGTATAGGAGTAAGGTGACAGACCTTTAGGTGACAGGACGAGCCCAGGATTCTCCGTTGATCATCTGGTTTGTGGATTCTGGCATTGTCCATTATCATCCATGCACCGTTCAGCTCCTTCCTGCCACCTATACGTGTCACAAGTTCTTTGACAAATGTGCCCAACTTTTCGCCATTGCAGGTGCCGTCATCAATGATCTTTGAGTAAACTATACCTTGGTTTTTCCTCGCCACAATTAGTGTCACCATACGGCCTCTCACTGTGGGCAGGATAATGTTTGATCGTGTCCCTCTCCTAGCCTAGCCTGTGTCCGTCGTAAATAAAGATTGAATCCACACTTATCAATGAAAATGCACTTCTCCTTGTCCAGTGGAGCAGGTGCTGAGAAGTCGAGAACAAAAGTTTGCCGGCTTAAAATCTTCATGATGCTGTTGACGCGCTCAAGTTGGTAATGACACTTCTTTAGGGTGATCTTGATCTTAAGCTTTTTGAGGCCATTGAGAATTAAAGATACGGCTAAATCAGTCGTGTTTTCCTTCATTGGCTGCTGTATCTGCACCTAAGAATCATCTGGATGTCGTTCAACGATGTTTTCAATGCGCTGCAAAACATTAGGTATCAGTTTCTCATTGATGTTTCCACAGCAATTTCGCTGGAAAATGGCACTTTCTCGTTTGTAGGCACTGATGATGTTTCTTGCTGTGCTCTCGTTGATACCAGCCACCTGAGCAGCCTCCTGGGTAGTTTTTCCACCGACTGACACAAGCTTAATAAAAAAAAACTTTTTTTGCGCTAAGGAAGTTTTTGCTTACACTGTCGGTCCCTCAGATACAAGTCGTTTTCAGGTTGTTGCTCATTTTGAGTGCTTCGTTAAGATGACAGGATTGTACACTGAGCTGATAAAAAACAGATTCTTCTATTTCTAGAAATCGCACAAAAAAAAAAAAAAAAAAAAAATTAAGAATGAATTACGTAATGTGTGTTCCAGAAAATCTCGAAAGTTCCAGCATATCCACGAATTTAGGCATTAAAAAACTATTTCTTTAATTTTGTCCAGTTTGGTTTGAAACATGTCCGGTGTAATTTGAAAAATGGCCAAGATGGTTTGAAAAGTGTCCTGTTTAAAGTGAAAATAGTATAAATCTGGGCACGCCATAAGAGGGGGAAAAGGCCCGGCTACACAGTGACAGTGATCAAATTAAAAGGTAAGAGGCACGTGGAAGAATATCTAGATCACAATTATTAAAAGAACGTGTGACATAATACTGTAAACAGATATTAATACCAGCGACACTTAGTGGATTATAAAAATAATTATCACAGGCAACTACCATAAACGGTGGCGCACAAGCTGACATGACCTACAGGATGAGCTCTTTTAGATCATAATTCTCAGTTTGACCTATACCTATTAACGCATTTTTTTTTTAAAACCCGTCTATGTACGTCAACTTTGGTGTTTGAAAGATATTTTTTTTTTTAACAAGCGAAAATTTTTTTATACACTGTAGTTTACGGTACATATTGTACAATCATAAAACGTGCAACAATGTAATAGAGAAGTAGTAACGTAAGTCCTATTTTGGTAGTATTTAGATCTTTAAGTGGCTGTATAAGGAAAATTGGAAGCCAGGGGCTCGATCGCATCGGCTTGCTAAGTGAGGTATAGTTAATAAATTAGGCTTGTTAGGTGAACATTTAGGGTGAGCATTGGTCACGGTCGAGTGGTTGAATGTTGTTGAATAAAGAATCGACATCACAGCACTCAGGACACTCCCATAAATGCTACGTCCCCATCTTTAGCAGCAGTGCACTTCCACTGGCTCCAGTAGCCGTCCGATTGTATATCCATCTCATCCTTCCCCTAAGTGTTGAGCGTCGGCCAAATCCCCTGGTAACTCCCAGCAGCGCCATTCTTCCCAGACTGTAATGATCTATCTGCGCACCGTTCACTCGTCCCCAGAGGGCCCTCACAATATCTAGCTTGTCATACATCAGTTCACCGCCAAGTGGTGCAGAGCCAGCCAGTCTGTCTGGCTGCTCATTTCCCAACACACCGGCATGACCTGGAGAAAATATACAAAGGAGGCTAACTACCCGGCACCTCTGAAGTGATGCTTGCCCCTCTGCACAGAGAATGCCTGCATTTACTTTTCTCAACATGCTCAGTTACAATTACGGCATGTGTGTACAGCTGATTCTCAAGCCAGCGGAAGGCAGCAGAGACTGCCTCCACATCCGTTCTCAAAGCTTTGCTGCACTAAGCGACATCCATTTGACTTTACTACGAACTCCCAAGCACTTCGTAAATGGTATCCCTGGGGGTTTGACTCGCAAATAGGAAATACCCAAAACAGACCCAGCTGCACCACAAAGATGGCAGGCAAAAAAGGCTTCTGCGCCACCAAGATGGCTGATAAACAGGTTTCTCTGCTGCCAAGATGGCTGCTAAACAGGTTTCGATGCCACTAAGATGGCCGGCAAACAGGTTTCTCTAGTACTAAGATGGCCGGTAAAGAGGTTTCTATGCCACTAAGATGGCCGGTAAATAGGTTTCAATACCACTAAGATGGCCGGTAAATAGGTTTCAATACCACTAAGATGGCCGGTAAATAGGTTTCAATACCACTAAGATGGCCGGTAAATAGGTTTCAATACCACTAAGATGGCCGGTAAATAGGTTTCTATGCCACTAAGATGGCCGGTAAATAGGTTTCTATGCCACTAAGATGGCCGGTAAATAGGTTTCAATACCACTAAGATGACCGGTAAATAGGTTTCAATACCACTAAGATGGTCGGTAAATAGGTTTCTATGCCACCAAGATGGCCGGTAAACAGGTTTCTATGCCACTAATATGGCCGGTAAATAGTTTTCTATGCCGCCAAGATGGCCGGTAAATAGGTTTCTATGCCGCCAAGATGGCAGGTAAACAGGTTTCTATGCCACCAAGATGGCCGGTAAATAGGTTTCTATGCCGCCAAGATGGCCGGTAAACAGGTTTCTATGCCACCAAGATGGCTGGTAAAAAAAAAAGTTTCTGTGTCCGCCAAGATGACCACTAAGAAGCATCTAGCACCACCAGTAAGGATCCAACGCTGCAATGACAGCCGCAAAGGATCTTGCTTGCTTGCTTATTGTACCCAACCAGGACATCACACAAGCGATAAACACTTTGTGACACAAAGTGCCACCATAAAATGAGGATCACCCCTGGAGAGTACTTAGAAACCCCTTTCAACCGTTATGGCCACAGTTGTGGCCCAGCTATATTCTTGGCTCCTGGCAAAAGCCAGGGTGGGGCTTCAAATAACGAAAAATTGCACCCCACAAGGAAACCGAGTAATAATATATTGCCACAAAGGAGCATAAATTTAGGTTTATAGAAAAAACAAATGGCGAATGCTGCTCCTGTGCAGCCAAAATAGTCCTCATGAAGAATCTTACGCCGCCAATGAGGATCCAACGCCGCTAAGATGGAATACAAATAAATGTTGATCATCCCTGTATAATGCAAAGACGTTTAGAGGTGCTAATGTATTTACCAACTATTTAATGTTGGTAATTAAAATCAAGTTAAAACTTAAAAGATATATAATATAATCATAGAAACAAACATAATGTAAGGATATCTAAGGAATAAAGAAGTAAAGAAACAGTTATTAGTTACAGCCTATAATAAGTAACAGGTGTTGCAGCAGTTAGCTGACGAGGTAAGCACTGAAGTCTGCTAGGAACTGATCAAGGGAATTGGGAATGTATCTTTTGTAGAAGTCCTTGGTTTAAAAATAACGGAAACATAAAACGTTGATAACGCCTGAAGACATAAACATAATCAGAGAAAGAAAGGAAAGGTAAAAACGCAGACCTAAACAACAGCAATACTAGAGCTGCTAAAGCTAGAGCTCTTGAAAAATACACCGAAGATAATAATGGAGTGAGAAAGCGAATAAATGCCGAGACAGTGAAATATATAGATGACCTAGCACACAAAAAACAAAGACAGCAGCAGCAAAGGAAAACCTCCTAGACCTTTACAGTAACAGGAAGAAATTAGTAGATAAACAGAGGCAACCAACAGGTTCAATAAAAAATATTTAAGGAAAGGTACTCACCAACACTAAAGATCAAATGGATGGATGAATATTTTGAAGTACTTCTGAATAGACCAGCCCCAGAGCTCCCTCCAGATATCCAGCCTTTATAAATGGAACTGGATATCAACTGTGAGATATCATCTAAAGAGGAAATTATGAAATCTATCAATCGTCTGAAGAAAAGAAAAGGATTCAGATCCAGATGGTATCCCAACAGAAGTTTTTAAAGCCAGTATAAACATTATCAACAGAATTGCTACACAGAGTACTGAGCAAAGTCTAGAAGTCTAAAAATATAGCAGCAGACTGGAGAAGAGGACATACTATGAAACTGTCCTAAACAATTTGATCTGCAGGAGTTTAAAAACTATGGAGGAATTGTGTTGCTGTCTGTGCCTAGAAAAATACTGAGTAGGATTCTTTTGTAAAAATTAAAAGATGCTATTAATAAAAGGCTATGAGATTAACAGGCAGGTTTTGGCCAAATAGATCCTGTACTGACCAGATATCCACACTGAGCATAATAACAGAGAAAAGCATTACATCGACTTCACCATTTTACATTAGATTCATAGACAATAAAAAAACTGTAGACAGCATTGACAGGGAATCTCCCTGAAAATTGGTGAGGCACCATCGGATGCCGTAGAATATTTTTTACTTAGTAAAGGCAACATATAAACATGTGAAATGTCGAATTCTTTTCTAGGGAAAGCTGATAGATTTATTTGAAATAAGAGCAGGTTCACAATCGTCTCACTGACAGAATCGGGGGCAAAATAAATTAAATATGCTTGATGCGAGGTCACAACAACTAGGTTTAAAAATCCATAACGGGAAGAAAAAGATAATGACAATAGACTGAGGAAATAGTAATGCGGTTTTTCTTAATGGTATCCCACTCCAAGATTAAGGTGGAGTGGGGAACTATTAAAAAACAAATGCATAAAAAAAAAGAGGAGCTCTTTTAGCACTGGGAAATTTATGGAGGTCAAAAAAAAACAAGAAATTAAAATTAATGTTAAACTTAAACACTGTAATTCTAATGTCAAATCAGTACTACTGTATGGAGCAGAAACATGAAAAACTAAAGCAATTACTACTATTAAACTACAAACATTCATTAACTGGTGCCTGTGCAGAATAGAGGGAAGTAAACGGTATAATAAAATCACAAATGTAGAGCTTTGGGAGAGAACCAAAAAATAAAAAAAAAATAAAAATAAAAAAGAGAACAAAATAACCAGAACGTCTTTGCACTAGAACCCACAGATGCATAGAAATAAAGACAGACAATTAAAAAAAAAAAACGCGGGGAAAGGAGCTAAAGAGTGAAACCAAAAGACGGAGAGAACAGGCTGAGCTGCATACAATATCAAAGGATAGAACGACAAGAAGTAAGTTAGTTGAAGGCATGTGCTTTATTGGTGGACAGAAGGCAAAAGGAGAAGAAGTAAGTCCACCAACTGCCTCAGAACATTGTACTGCCAATTGCACCGACCCTTACCTAGTGATGACTAGGTCGATTCATTTGAAAAAATAAATACCAGGAATTATAATGGAATGCATTGATCCAGGGTAACACTGCACACATCATTGAACGATTTCTGAATGATCTATACAAATATGGGGGAGGCACCATATACTTAATGTTCAAAATGTGGGGACACGAGTCCTATTTTATTGGCTGTTTTTAATAACGTTTGAACTTTTATGTATTTGAAGCAGACTCATATTCCTGGAAATACTGATAATAATATGGTATGTCCATTTAAAGTAAACAGACGAAAATTAAAATGACCCACCTGCAGTGTCTGTTTGGCCTGCCCGATGTCTCTAAGCTGATTGCACGCGACCATCGCCTCTGTCAATGTCCAGTGGTCACTGCAAACTGTTCCCCACGAACCCTTATTAATTCGAATTTGCAAATGACCTTCCCATTTGTAGCGGCCGCCTTTCAACCGTATTTCAAAATTCTGCAAAAATGTAAAAAAAAAAAAAAAAAAATTATTGTGACGAAGTGACCTCAGTGGTCTCAGAAGTTATAATATGTTTAATAATTTATTATGGTCATAGAAGGACAAAGAATTATACTTAATATGCACTGAGCATAAATAGTACTAAAACCACCACAAGGGATTTGAATAATTGTTTAATCTTTGTTTCCCGTCTCTCGCCAGACAAATGCAAAACAGCTTTGTGTAATATTACCTAACATTACCTTAGCTAGAAATTCGTTTTACAAGCCAGTGTCATATAATTATCTCCTGAATACAGACTAGGGGCGAGCAGCTGGGAATAAACTTAGTATCACACCTAAGATTATCCCCTATAAACCCGACCTTAGTGTCATAAATGTTATATTACACAGACTGAGTGGGTCCTTTTGAACAGAGCAGATCAGGGGAATTAAGTGGTCTGGTAGACAACTCCAGACATGACGGCGTCCTCTGGACAGTTTCTCACACATGTCAGTTAAATTGGCTGGAGAACAGATGTTTACCAATCATGAATGTTTGGTCTTACTGAAAGCGGTTCACTTCAAGTGACAGGCCCATTGATAGCTTTGTTGATCTGCAAGGTATCTCAGGGGCGTGGCTTAGATAATCTCCTGTGGGGTTGAGTAGAACCTCGAAAAGGGAAGAGTTTAACCCAGCAGACAGATATATGTAATAATACTACTAGCTTCTTGACTTTCCGTCATTATCGCTGCCCACCGGCAACAAACTCAGATCGACATTAGAGGTAATTCTAACTGTTTGATTCCGGTTTGGCGATTGCTTGAATGTTTCCAGGTATGCTTGTACAATTAAAAAAAATCTTTTATACATAGGTTAGGGAGTTAGCTAAACCTATTCTACCTTTTCCAAATTTTTCTACACATTTTGCTTGAAATAGTTCTTTGTGAGTATTCAGTATCTCAGTTATGGAACTGCTGAACCATTTCTATTTCTTGTATGTTTGTGCCACATGTTTTTCGGTGCATGTTTTCATGTTTATAAAATAAGACTTGTATACTGAAATGTAATGAAATTATAATGTTTCAACCATCAACCAAAACATGAGCCTGGATTGGGGGAAATGTTGCCCACATGTGCAGCCAAACGGTTACGTTTATTGTGTGCCCACAATGTGCTCACTAAATGTGTTCACCTAAACAGGGGATTTATAACCCAAGGGAAAGAATCATGGGTGTATAGTATTCACTGTCACTGAAAGATAATATTCAGGACAGCATGCACGTATAAAATGTTTTGCGTGTTCAGCACATAACCTGCGCCACATGTTTATGTCAAATCAATATCAGCCAGTTGGAAGTCTGAAAGATGACGCAAACAGACTTAGAAAGTCAACTATCATGACAGAACATGAGAGGGAAGGCAGGATATGTTAGACGTCAGTGTGAGACCTAAAACCTTCAGACCAGACTGGAGAGAATGTGGAATATGAGGAGGAGTGATGAGATATATTTTTTTATTATAAATTGTATTAATTGATACATGTATTCTTAGTGTAAGTCAAGATACTACACGTATGTGTTTGTTTCCATTATTACAGCTCCCATGTGGGTGTCGATCAGTTCTTTCTGAGAACAGAAATAGAGGATCATCACGTGCATGAGACTACATTGTGTTAGGACTCGGCCAGCTGGGAACCAGATGGGAACGAGGTGGAGAACAGGGAACTAGCCGGGAGGAAATGTTGGAACAGCTAAGAAGGGACTCAACACGAGGGCTCTTAGAGGTTCCACTTTCTAAAATACCATAAGTTACGTACCATTTATTTATGTAACTAAACACCACCATTATCACTTCACTCTAATCTTAGGTGCTCAGTTAGCTGATGCATCTCATTACTGTTTACTTGAAAAAAAAATAACTAAAATGATCGCTAGGTTAATAAATCAAATATATGGTCCTTTCCTGCATCAGTTTTTGTAATTCTAAGTGTGTCTGTTATTACATGTTTAATTAAACTGTTAAGATAGAATATAATTTGGTTGGGGCTCATTAAATAATAATGCTAATAATACTAATTCTTTACCAAGGGAAGGTCGACGGAAAAGTTCAACTGCCCTGTCTAGTAAATCATTAAATATAATAATATAGACATCTTAAATCCCTTTCTTTCTCTTGTGGGTACCAAGTGCAGCTAATGTTAAAAGTAATTTACGAGCCAATATGGCTGTTTTCTTGGATATCCAGGACTTCGTCTGAGAGCAACAAAGCCCAGATATTAGTTAAGTTAATCTATTGGAGAGGATGTGTTGAGACGAAAAATACATACTCAACATATAAATCATTTAAAACCCAAGGGGTATTGGGACCGTTACGTCACACCGAGGTCGTCACGTCACAGTTATCATTAAAAGATATACTGTTGCAATCTGTAACGAAATAAAGTTGTTGCACCTGCAATGAACGTGGATAATCCTCCGTTGAATTTGTACTGCTGACGAAGAACCTTTAGTATAGGGGGTTTAGGGGCTGTAAGTAGTCCATTTTTGCATTTAATGCAATATTGTGCGAGGTTTCCAGGTTTTATAACTGACTGATTTTCAGCCTTGAGATTTAATCATATAATGCAACTGGATAAAGAGGGCGGGGGGGGGGGGAGGAAGGGGCTGGGTTATAACATATAATATATATATTATACATACTGCATAATAAATGTATTGCGCTGGTCTCTCCCTTTTATACCAAAAAAAAAAAAAAAACCTGCTTAATCATTGCGCCCCATATAGAGTGTCAGATTTATACAAAAACATCCCCACCCCTTTCCCCCAACCCCTAATCAATCTTGTATCTTTCTAAGTCAACAGTACGAACATGCCGCTATACTATACAGAATTTCAATAAACACTTTACCATTCCAAGGCTAACTTTCTGTCGAATCAGTAGTTCTATGGAACGAAAAAGACAGCGTTTTCATTTCACACATTAACCTCTTTCATCCCAGCTTGTTGTAACTTCATATATAGTGAAAGTTATAAGAAAAGTAATTAATAAAAATTATCAAAAATGTACGGAGCTAATTAAAACACCATATATTTATTAAAAAAAAAATACTACAATCAAATAATGAAAAGGAAATATCTGGACAGCTGCTTACACCAATGATTACCAGTGAAATAGAATGACACTATTTTAACCTGTCTGAAAATTAACAGGGAACCGCTAGCCAAAGGCTTTGGGATGGATTCCATACATGATATTGAAAAGGATAAACAGGATATAATACAATGGGGGATTATTCTGCAAGCCCCAAGTGACGTAAAACATGGGAACAGTATGATGATTTTAATGATGTCGTCCTCAAACTCAATGAAATTATTATAACAGCCAAAAATGATCTGACAGGGTGGAAAAAAGCAAAAGTTGCTGCACTGGACCAGGTATTTTTCCGTAGTCGGTAACTACCCAAAACTTTTGGCAGGAGCTTTTCCCTTTCCAAAAACATTTGTAGTTTAACAGCAATAGTCTTCTCTAGCACTAAGGTAAAAATATTTTGTAGGGTGATAATCCTGAAACCGCTGAGTCTGCGCCACAGACGAGACGCCTATTACCAGGGATTTCCTCCAACTCTTTGAGCTAGTCCCAATATTCCTCTGTGACAAGAGATAAAACAGCAGGGTAAACATTTACTAAATTCCACGTTTTCCCCCCATTATCTATCTGAATACCGTGAATCTCTAGTGTACTATGCTTCCACCGCTCCATGACAAGAACTACATGCTTCAACCAATTTTTCACCAGCAGACACTGTTCATGTCTTCCCTGTCCAGTAGGATTTATGTAACTCTGACATATTCATTAGTTTTGTGTTCTAAAATAACTAATTCGTAAAATGCGTCTGTAGCCTGAATCCTCCTTTCCTTTTCCACAGTGAGAGTCTAACTCCCACATTAGTAAAAGAAAATAGACAATGCCAGCGATTTGTAAATTTTAACCTTGACTGCGATGCTAATTTTGATCTTTCACATCGTATTCAGCTGTGACATCGCAGCTGTTGCCATGTTAAGTCTTGTCTTGATCTGTATGGTACAGCTGCCATTGTCTAACATGTGGAAGCCAAGATGTTTAAGGTTTCAACTTCTAGTTTTGTATTCTTTTTATCCATATTTTGGTAGGTACTTGGTTACTGTGACTATGTACCAGAATCTTGCTATTCTCGGTTCTAATTATGTGCCATATTCACGACAGTCTCTAATTTTGTTGTAAGTTCTTGGAGTTCTGTTTCGAAACCAGCCATGAGATTTATGTCGTCTGCAAAACGTAAATTACACAGTTGTCCTCCGCCAATAGATATAGTGTTTCATGATTTTCTAGTGTTTCTCTCATTATGTGTTCTAACTGAAAAGGACAGGGAATAGTAAGCAACCCTGCCTCACTAGCACACTGGTCTTTTAAATAATGCGGATTCAAACAATAAATTGCACAATTTATTGCCAGGCATATTTCGCTGTATCTCATCCGGTGCGTTACCACAGAGGTACACCAACATAAAATAAAGCACAAAAAGGAATACATTCAACTGAAATGCGAACAGTTTCTTCCGATACATTGCGTCTGTTTCATGGCCGCCGGAAGCTATCGGGCCTTCATACAGGTGAAATCATATACAGACATACGCGATACATCACACACACCTGCATCTACATACATATACATACGCATACACATACATCAGATAATAAATGCACAAACAAAACACACACACGTACATTTATGGATATACATGCACACACGCATTCCATATATATACATCTATACATGCACCCATGCATACACACATATACCATTACATGTACAGACACCAACATATGCCCAAAACCACACATTTACACTTACATGAATACATACACCCACACACATGCATACATATATCCACACATTTATACCTAAACTCACATCTTTACACACATACATACATACCTAACTATACTTTCATATATCCACATGCATACACACACAAT